TAAAAGCTGGGGGGCCAACCCAGCTGGCGATAAGGCCTTATATACATGAGTTCCGCAACTCATAAGAGCACGGCTACATTGGGAACACATGGTAGCCGATAGAGAAGCGACATGAAATAGGAGAATAGATCATGCGGATAAGGGGGCGATAACGGGTGAGGGATGACACGATAGCGGAAATAGCGCATTGAATACAGCCTGCATTCTAACTATGGCAAATCACACGCAGATATCGGCTTACGGGTACTCAACCTATCTGGATAGGGGTCCGGGCCAGCCGGATAACCATCCGTGCCCTGACAGAGGGGCGACTTGAACAGGGGGAGTCGGGGTTGGGTCACCTGGAAGCACCGCCATTGGTTGTTGAGGAGGGTAGCCTCTTGTTTCCATTCTTCCCAGGTTCTTGGCATGGGGTGCAGATGGTAGATGCTCTCACGGAGCTGGGCGTTGATCGCTTGTTTGAAGTGGTCTACCAGCCCTACGTCACCTAGCTGCGAAGCAGGACCGTGGATTTCGAACTCCTGGATGATTTTATCCACGGAGTCAGTGCCTTGCCGTAAAGCGGCAAGCTTCTGCCAGGTGGTGGCTTCCCGGTTGGGGTCTTGAAACATGGCGTCCAGCTCTGCCATGAACTTGTCCATAGTGATCGTGGGGGATCCCGCCATCAGCAGCACGATCGTGCGCTGTGTTGCCCATGCTCCTGCAGCTCCTCCTTTCATGTACAACAGGACGAAAAGGATTTGGGATAGGGTGTCGGGGAACTCCGTGGCACAGACATGGAAGTAGATTCTGCATTCCGCTTTGAAGCAGTCGAGGTCCTCGCTTGCTCCGGCAAAGGCGGTGGGGGGGGGCAACCTTGGGTGCTTTGGGCTTGGGTGTAGGTGCAGGTGCGGGCACAGGCGGAGCCGGTGGGTTCTGGACATGGCTCTCAAGGATGGCCTGCAGTTCCTGGAACCTAGTCAGCAGGTCCTGGTACTGCTCTTCGGTCACCATGCTGGAGGAGGTGGGGGAGATTAGGTTGAAACCTTCTTCTGCTGTCAGGGACGGCTCGAGGAAGGCAGAGGTAGCAGCCCAGACGGCAGTGGGGCGGTGAGACCGTATAGTGGGCAGCCCTCACTCGGGCTTAAATCCCTGTGTGGCTTCTTAGGCTGAAGCGGGAAATGTATTGTTATTAGGGTGGGAAGCTAGACTAAACTAGGGTACTTGCCTGAAGCGGGAAATGAGAAGAAGGTTACTTCTTCGGTCCTGCTTCGGCTTAGTTTATATACATGTGTGAATGGGTCACGTGGAGGTGCCACATCACCCTTGGACGAAGCCGGGTTACCACGGGTGGCTCCGCGGTCGATCCCAAGTGTTGGAGGGGAAATACAAGTAGGAGTGCACGGCGCGTCCGGCGTTGCGGTGCCCTTATGGGGTGCTCAGCATCGGATGCGTCGATGCTACAAGTGTAGGAAAGAAAGAGAGGTCGTCTGTATAAAGATAGAAAAAGAGAAGAAGGAAAGAAGAGAGAATGAGAGGATGAGACAAAAGGAAAAGGAGGTGGCGGCAGCGGTGGCGGCGGCAGCGTGCCCTGACAATTTCCCCCCAAGAGACTTCCCCTCTGCTAGATCCGAAATTAGGACAACCATCAATGGCACAGCACTCTGCATGAGTTGCTGAGGCCAAAGTCCTTCCATGCTAAGTCTCCGATTCCACTCCGGAGTCGTCCAAATCCACCTGATCTAACAATGCAAGGGGGTAAAGGCTTCCCCAGCCTTTTACTCCCCTGTCGATAATATAGCTTCATACAGTGTATATCAGACAGACTGGGGGCATGAGGCAACTTCTGACATTGCAAGATCACTTGCGAACTCAACCATAACAACCTTACAGTGTGGCAGCAGGTTTTCAGATGGTAATGGTTGGATAAACTCTATTTATTTACATATCATGTGATTTGGGTGTGTGCAGTGTTATAGAAACGGATCTAGAATCTTATGGTCCATGACTATAGACAATGAGACTTCAGAACTCCACTTTATTTCACTGTCAAACCCCATGCCAAGCTTTCCCACTGGGTTTTGGTGCTGGCTGGGGGATTTGTTGAGTTTCAAGGGATTTCCCTTGACCATTGTAACATTTATATGTATTATATTAGTTATGGGTCATATGACATGTAAGGCAGTTGCCAAGATTGTTCTCTTCATCTAATGAATAACCCCCAAACCATCACTTCGTGATTGTAATTGCCACACCACTGTTCCACCACCTGTAAACCTGATTGTAATCTCTGGATTCCTGTGAGGTCTCAGTGGGGTAGCTCAGCACACAGAGCCATAAGTGATACAAAGGTGTGTATTTTATGGTGTGTGTAAGCAGTTAACACAAGTTACTGCTTACTCATGTGACTATATGTACCTTGTAATTACATATGGCTCGGGATTCGGGGCTATTGCCCTGACAATTCCCTCATGTCCACATCCATCTTCTTGCACTCTATGACAAAACCCCAAAGTGTCAGGGACAGCTCCAAAAGCGGCAAGGTCCTGGCGCGAGGGACTCGATGGGACAGATGTCGGCTATGCGTAGCGGCGGTCCCGTTGCGGGGTGAGCGTCCCCGACCACTTAGTCTGAAGTGGGAAGTTGTATTATCATTAAAAGGGGAAGCTACAGTACTTACCTGAAGTGGGAAGTTGAGAAGAAGGCTGCTTCTTCTGTTCCCACCCCAGGTGCTATTATATACATGTGGCTGAGGTCACGTGGGAGGAGCCACGTCATCCCCGCACACAGCCGCACTCCCCTGGGTATCTCCGTGGGAGATCCCGGAGGTGTGCCACTTCTGTGAGTGGGAATGCGCACGGCGGGCGCGGCGATCGGGGGAGCGGGGTTAAGTGGGTAGTAATACATAGAGAAGGGGAAGTCGACCATGGAACGGAAATAGAAAGAAAGAAGGAAAAGGGGAAAGGAGAAACAGGGAGTGATAGTGGGGGAGCGGAGTAGGGCGGCGCGGTGCGGGGTCAGGTGTGTGCCCTGACACAAAGGCTGGGTGAGTGTTCCATCACCAGACCATCCACAACCCGCTCCCAGCCTATTGGGTGTGGGAGCTCCTGTTCCAAACCTTCTTGCAGTACCCCACTGGGTACCGCTAATCTTCCTTCCTCCTTGGGAGGGAAAAGTGGCCAAGGTTGTCTCAGGGAGCCTGCCCATGTGTCCATGGGCCCTGTTTCCCATGGTTACACATTCCCATGTACTGGTCCAACAACCATCAAGTCCCAACCTACCATGCTACCGGTATGCTCCTGTGAGCACCAAGTCACTGATGGCAGACCCATAGGTGGCTCCCCCAAAGAGCTCCCATCATACTTGCTACCAGTATGCTCCCATGAGTGCCAAGTCACCAATTGTAGACCCATAGGCAGCTTCCCCAAGGAGCCCCATCATACTCACTGCTGGTACGCTCTATGGAGTGCCAAGTTACCACTAGCAAGACACTAGGTGGCTCCCATAAGGAGCACCCACCACACTCGCTACTGGTACATCCTCTGAGTGCCAAGTTACCATTAGCAAACCTCACCTTGGATCTTCTCCCACTCTCCCCCCAACGGTTATGCAGCCACCTCCATCCATGGGCAGAATGGCTCAGGTTGGGTTCCCCGGAACCCATTCCTGTAACATGCAGGGCCCATAAGAGTCTAAATTGGGAAAAATCCCATTTCCATAACATCCACACCTTGTGACCCAATCAATATACATACTCAAGAACCTGTCATGTGTCATGCAGGCTACATATCTGGGATATCACCTTGGATATTTTGCCTAAAAACACAGTGAATTATTCTACATGTGATAATGACTATGGGTGACACATTTGCACAATCAGCCAGAACTAGTCTTGTAATGTAGGGATTCTGTATAAGGCAATCCACTACCTCAGCAGTAACACTTGTGAGACCAGATGTAAGATAGAGTGAAATCTGATGATTTTTGTCAACATCCATCTGTGTGTATTTATATACAGTGTAAATCTATTGCAGAGCAGCCTGTTAAGGTAACTCCTGTGTGACTACGGAATTAGTAATTCCCTCCAACATAAACACTGGCTGTGTCCGGTCCCTGTGACTCGTGATTACAACAACTAGTACTACAAAATGACCAATGACCAGCATCACAAGCTCCACCAGGGTACATACTCCTTACATAAATTCTTCATCAGGCTCAAACATTGCAGGGACATCCTTTGAAATATGGTGATTGTGGCTTTGACGCGTTCCCCACCCTCTTGGTAGCATGTCAGCCATCTACACTGACATAAAGCTATTATAGTGAAGAAAAATCTGGGAGAACGTACAAGGGACGACCTAATGATAACCTGTACGGTAACTTAGTGACATCATCCAGAGTCTTGCCCTCACGAAACTTCATCACCATGCGTCGAAACCTAGTGCGCTGAATGGTTTGACACTGGCAAGTTCACCTTGGGCAATGTGGCTTGATGGATCAAGGAAAGGTGGTGGGGAGAATTGGTCAGAGTTTCCTGTTGTGGATAAGAAGAGGGTCCAGATAGGGAACGACCGTAAACCCCGCAAAGCGCATCTCATCGATGAGAATGCGGACCACCTTCTACCAGTATTTGAAGGCGCCAAGGTGTGGGCTTCATCAAATGCCAAAGTCAATATGGGAGTATGCTGCATTTTGAGCTCAAAACGAGGGTTTATTTTTATACTTGTTGGACAACAGTATCAAGTGTTACCATGCCTTGTGTATAAAAAAGACATTGTATTAGTCAAGACCATGCTTAGGGAAGTAATGGGGAATACCATTTGTGTTTGTCGCGAACTTCCTTTCTGTTTTGAAGGAGTCATCGGCTATTATTTGAACATAGCTGCCTCGACTGTAAGTGACCCAGCAGCGACACAAAACAGGGACTTGCCTCCTCCACTCTGGTCAATACCTCCGCATAAAACTGCACACATAGAGGAGCTCGCTGTCCAAACCGCTGTCCAACTGTCATAAAAAGTCGAAACTGCCCGGCAAGGGATTTAGGATAGTCCATTAATGCTGCTGACTTCTCGGCCGGTAAGAGCACAGAGGGGCGATGATACTTTTTGTCCAATGATGTTGGATACCCTCTCGAACAATGCAGTGAGAAATGCGCTGAAACGAGTATCACTTTCATGCTCTTTAAGGCCAATCCTTGTGAACCAATTCAAGACATTATGGTCAGGAGCCGGAATCCTAAATTGAAACATTGGAATCACACAGAAGAATGCAGGAAGAGAATATCACCTTCAGCTCCCTGACGGAGATTGAAGGGGACTTCTTGGAGAACTCGTCGACCATTCGGAAGAGGCGAGCATATGTATCAGCAATATCTTGTCTCATCATGTAGAATGTTGGCAGCGTCTCTTCTGAATTTAGAAGACCACGACTTGACTGCTGCTGGAAGGAGGTCGGAAAGGAATGACACAAGCAGGCGATGCTCTGCCCACCATCTTCAGATGATTGAGAATCAAGTATCGCTTCAGGGTCGGGAGGATCCGCAGGCTGGGCGGTTGGAAGGAGAATTTCTGTAACGATCACAGTTTATCAGAGCCATCCAATGACATCCAAAGCCTACGGTGCATACTCAAGCATCGTATCTCCTTGAACGATTGAGCCTCCCATGCTTCATCTAACCTATCCCCCAACTCCGGATGTTGTGCGATTAAATCATCCAGTGGCAGTAATCTTTTCGAGTCGAGTAGTCCGTCTGATTTGGTTGAGAAGAAGAAAACGAAATTCATTTCTGGGGAGAAGTTCGGCAAACTTGCGCATGGTCTCCACAACAAGTGCGTCAAGTGTTATGTGGGTGGCTTCGTCCAGGACACTGGGATGACCGCGAGAGTTGTGGGTGCACATTTAGTGGAGGGCTCACTCACTGACGGCCCAATCTCCAAATTGGATCTCTTTGGAGCTGACTGATTTGGGAGCAGGACTTGAATTTCGCGACTCACGTGCAGATGTTGCTGGGGAGGCGTCAAGTTTCCTGGAGAATTCCCGAAAGCAGGCTCGGTGACTTCCACTGACAAATCTCCGATGTGCACAGGTCCTTCTTCCATCAGTGTTTCTGGGGCCAAGGCATCTAATGGAACGGCTCGAGCATGCCTACCGCTTCGCGAATTCGGCGTGTTTAGTAGGAGGACGTGAGATGCACAGTCCCAAGCCGATCGAGGAATGCGAACTGTAAATGTAACAATAACTGGCTGTGTTGGAAACACTTCGGAAACCCCAGCATACTCCGAGCCCCTGAAGGGCGAAAGTCGGCACACAGTGCCCGAGGTCTGAGTCAGGGAAGGGCCGAAACTGACTTTTTTCGCGAAATGATGTATCCCATGAGGGCCTTTTACAGCCGTTTGCAGAAAATCTGCCATCTTGAATTTATCGTGTTGGGAATGCGAAACACCGGAGACACCCGGGACCTATGTATGTGGAGGATGTAACTAAGCATAGAGGGCTCCGGATTGCCGTCACATAGCATAAATATGGGTGCTTTAGCACCCTACATGTTGGGGAGCCAGCGCATTATTGTGCCACAAGGCACTAGGTGCGACCCTTTTCGGAAATAATTGGTGAACGCCGTCTGAAAACCGGCGCTTAATTAACCTATCGATGCTGGCCTGCGGATGAGCGCTGCCTGAAGCGGCAATACCCGCTACTCATCCCGGTTCCGTCTTACGGGCCCTTCATTTCGCTCCCAAACAATGTTGTTACATACTTATCACAAGGCTCACCAGTGACTGGTAATACATTGTTGTAATTCAGGGGATTCTGTATAAGGCAATCCGCTACAAGTTCGCGATCAACCAGAGGTAAGCTTAGCAGTTTACTTACATGTCGAGGCGTCATAGCCCTTTATCTTTAAAACAGTGTGCGGCTATCTGTCGATCCTTCCAGAGCACCATGGCCGTTACATGGTTCATTTAGACACCGAGTTCTGTACGAAAATCTTGGTGGAAACATACCTATCACGATCATTCATGTATTTCCGATGAGTTAAACCTGAAAGAACATTATGCACATGAGTTCAGTGTAGCTTCATGTACGAAGCCCGGAGTGTCAGCTTCATGCCACCACCTGGATGATCAATGCACCCTGAGGGCTAATCATGGATCTGGGGCGTTCCCGAATATTAAGGGGCACGTTTTGTACTCTAACCACACGCAGACTCTTTGGCACCTCAGTCTAATACTGTAAACCCCATGCATGCATCGAAGTCATCTAAGTGCGAGTGCCCCTACTTTGTGAGGTCGACATGGCGAACACCGAGTGCCGGCATGGCAGGCCCATTATGTCATCATTGCCACGGGTGTCCTGTTGAACCGACTCCATGTAATGATCCTAAAGGAGTGTGCTTTCGAGGAGCATCAAGAGGAAGTCACCGGGGGAAGCAAGCGAGTTGGAACGGTTCCGGTCAGTTTGATGATTCTGTCCTGAAACACTTGGAGTTCACATCCATGCTGGCTCATGTGGTGGGAAGGCTTCTTGACTGATGTCCTCTTACATCTGCTAGGGGCAACCCAGGTACCAAGTATTCAATCATGGGCCCCTGTTGACATGAGCAGGTTTCAGGGAACGCAACCAGGACATGGCCATCCGAGGCTATCTCAACGGGCGGGTCAAACATCGGCTAATGGATACTGTGGGCCAGCGGGTTCTGAAATAAAAGATAGCCTTGATGAGGGTGGAGGGAGTGGTGAGTTTCACAGGCTACTCTATTGGTGCTAATGATGGATGGACATTATGGATATCTTTCGGACGGGTGTGTGAACAGGGGATTGGCTGTTTGACACCTCCAAAATTCCCGATCACCCCGGGTTCTATTTCAGTCCCAAGCAGGAAAGGATCCCACGCGACATACAAGGAATTACGAGGGGGAAAACCCAGGAGGAGAAAGCAGGGTCCTGGCAAGAAGTGGAATAAGCAACGAGTTATCAATTTGCCTTTCGTGCGTTGTTGAATTCTTCAGTTACCTATGTAATCTACATATTCTCGTAGGTAGTAGAACAAAAAAGGAAAGAAAAAGAAATTCCAAACAGAGAGCGCAGGACATTCAATTCAATTAGCATGCCGCGTGACACGTGACATCAAAACACTCCAGATACCATTGTATTTGAAGAACAAGAGCCGAGTATTGATGACGACAAGGAGCCAGACTTTGCAGAAGTGCTGACAGATCTACTTGAAATGATGAGGGCGCGTCTTGATGGTCCTCAGGTATGTAAATGACCTCTATGTAGTTATAGGCCTCACCGTTGTTCAGGATCTCTCGTTCTCCGGTTTGACCAATGACCACTTATCGAAATTAAACATATCCCCGGCTGGGTCCCTCGAACTGAAGCCAATGAGCGTGCTCGCGGAACTAGCAAAGAAGACCCAAATTGTTGGGAAAGATGACATCTGGTCTTCGGAAAACTTATATCGTCATCTGCAACGCCTGGAGACGCTCGTCCCCAAGTCGGTGAGTGGCGCCAACTATCAGTGAAATGCTGCGCTCATGTTGGAGATATCAGAATGAAGCAGCTGCTCGCGCTTGGATAGACGCGTTTTTTTTTCGTGTGTCTGCAATGGTGCCTCCGGATGAAATGATGGTCCTGAGCGTGGAGCAACAAATCCCCCCTACAGCGGTCAAACCTTCCAGTTCCACCACACTTCATGGCCTTATCGATTACACCGCTGCAACGGCAGTTAAATCTGTTGCAGGTAATATTGTCGCCTGTCTTGCCCAGTTGTCCTTTGCCTGGCTAACCTCCTGTAGACAAATTTTTGTCTGACCCAACAATTGAAAGACTCAAGTCGATGTCAGGTCTCGTGGTGACTGAAGCTAAATCTTCGTCTGGGGCTCCGACTCACCTCCGAGACCATATACCTCAAGCGATTGGTGAAATGTATGCCTGCGCGAAAGCCCTTGGGTTAGTTCCTTCTGTCTGTGCAACTTAAATAATTATCGTGCTTGCGTAGGAAATCTGTTGTCCGCGGGGCGCTGACGGTTGGATACAGGTGGATTTTTCTCATCGTTGTCATGAATGCCAATGGTGATGGAGCCAAGTATTGGAAATCTCGTGGCATCGGCATCCTTACCACGACGCCTCCCGAGGACACAGCGATCACATCCCCATGGCCCGATGTCATTGCCGGTATTTTGGCACATTGGGTAGGTCTTTCCCCCATCTTCAAAACGGGTCCACTGACTTGTGATCGTGGTATTAGATGAAGCATAGTTTTGAGGGCATCAAGGATGGTGATGATTGGTTCGAGGTTGAATTGTAGTCCTTACAGCGTTAATCCACTACCCAGTGGAAAAAGCTCCGTACCCATAAGACGCCCCAGCAAGGCATCGAAACCCTGGTGGAACGATGACCTTACTAAGTCATGAACTAAGACAAACTAGAGAATCTCTCAAAGCGTGGATCAAGGACTTCAACCGTCCGTCCATTTACCTCGCAGATAAAGCCAAATCCTTACATAAGGACATTCGCTCACAAATAAGAAAAGCAAAGCAGGAATACTACCGGGAACTCACAGAGGAAGCCAACCAGGGCAAGATGTGGGATTTCCGTAAGTGGTCAAAGTCCATCTTAGTGCGATAGGGGCAGTCCCTGTGGGGTGCGTTACTCTGTGCATGGTGAGGGGATCGTCTTTCAGCTTCACCCCAGAATCCTGAACATTCTCCATAGACGGGTTTCTGCGTCTGAGGTTGGAGATTCAGCTAGGTGATCCCTCTCCTATTGGAGCAAGAATTTGTGCTCATATATTACGGGGAAAAGGGTTCGGACGGGGTCACCCGTCTTCGGGATCGTGTAACCGAGCTTGAAGCCGTGATCCGCGGACTAAAAGACAAGCCTCAGCCTCAAAGAACCCCCGTAATGCCTCCAGGGATGTTGGCGATCGCGAGAATGAGCCTGTCGGCTCCACTAAAAGTGGGATGAACATCCTTGGGGAGGGCGGGCCTCGCGCCGCAGTCGATCGATCGCATCGCGTACAGGTCGAACAGTAGCCGGCCTCTTACCATCTAAAGAGCAGATCCCAGAACCTCATCTCACTCTTCTCCCAATGAGACGCACAAAGGCGCTGCCACTCGAGCCAGTAGCGGTTTCGGTGCCCATGATCGGTGTGGGGGGGGGATTGTCTCGCGTGTGGCATGATGCGCGCACTTTCTCTGGCTGAGGGGTAAGTACTGGGCAAGATTTACATGATCTGACATTGACATTCCCCCATTTGACTCTCAAGCAGCAGGAGCGCAAATCCGCGGGCCCTCGATTATGACCAGGCCCAGGTTCACACAGACCCCCTGACCAATCCCCAGCTCACCACTTTCCGACGAGGGCCCACATTCCGGAAATCTACTGAGCGATGAGCCCAGATTTCCACCTCCCTCTTTTTACCCGCATGCAGGCAGCGGGGAGCCTTCGCACCAATGTTGGTAAATTAGAGGACTCAAAAGTGATGATGAAACGAAGATTAGGGAAGACCAATATGGTATTATTTGCGCATTTGGGTGGTGCGATGAGCAACTGTGAATTCTTGGGAGCACAAGATGTGAGGAGGGTGTCCAATGTTCGAAGAGGGGAGCCAAGGCAGGGCCTCAGGAATTATTAGGTATTCAATACAAGAATTTTATACACCTGTTCTTCACACTGGATACTTTGGTGATTCTACACACCACAAGTTCCCTGTAGAAACCCTCTCACCCACTCACCCGATTGCAGTGACTACAGTGTAGGCAAGTTATTCACAGCACCTCCATAGCACAAAATTTTACTATTCAACTTGGCATTAGATTAAAATCCTACTATGAAACCAATGTATTCTACAATTCTCTAGAGGGTTTTCAAAAAATTGACCAGTGGACATTATTTTTTTGACCAGAATTTCCTTTTTTGGAAGGTACTCAAGCGTGCTCACTCAAAGAGAGTTGCTTTGATGCATCTGGGTACTTCCCAACTGCTCAGCCTGTATGCCAGTTAGACCTTTTCTATTCAGCAATGAACAATAAAAAGGTATTATGATGACAGCTTACTCATGCATCCATATAGCACCCAGTTTATTTGGAAGAAACAGCAGGTTGAGACAAGATTGCAGGAGTCTAAAACCAGATTTTCCATGGTTTTGAACTTCCCACTTAGGGGTAGGCATTTTCAGGGTGGTTGGCAGCACATGATTTTCACATCTGTATCATAATGCACAATACTGCCTTCCTTTCTCAATTTCTTATGTTAAAACAGTGATGTAGCTTTGTTAATGGCATATCAGATGCATGCTCTATGGCACATGTGAATTTTTACAGGGTTTCCACCTTATTAGGGCACAGTTTCCTAATTCGGATGACATAGGTGGACATTGCTTTGGAGGAAAATTTTTCATTACCCTAAATTATGAAAAAGTGGTCTGATAGACCAATAGAATGTACATTTGTGATGCTTTTCTGATAGTTAGAATGTTGTTTAGACTCAAATTGTGAGCCATGAAAGGGAAATCCTTCTGGAAGCAAATGAGGTGTCAAAAATAACCTGCCTACACTGTATCACTGACAGTGAAGTACTGTCTGCCTACCTAACAAGAAAGGCAGAGACACTATCCTAGTGCAACAGGAACAGGACAGAGAATCTATCAGGAATAGTGCAGGAATACTGTCAGGGCAATAGCCCCGAACCCTGAGCCACATGTAATTAGATACATATAGTCACCTGGGTAAGTGGGAACCTCCGGGTAACTGCTTACACACTACCATAAAATGCACACACTTGTATCACTTACGGCTCTGTGAGGTACTCTCCAAAAGTGTAATCCTGCGTCATGAACTCATGAGGAGTCATGACATGTCATGACAAATGAATTGAATAAGACATTTTTTACATTGAAAATTTTGGATTTCATGACAGTTCATGTCAGAGTACACCCACTTCCGGCCACTTCCAGCCTACTTACCATCATGATCTGATTCCATGATCTATGATCACCCAGATTCCATGATCCATGATCCCTGTACAGCCTTATGATCTGATCCCACTCCAAGATCCATGTTCCATGATCCATGATCCAACACAGCCAGACAAACCTGGATCATTGATTGTTGGTATGTACAGTGCCTCGTAGATTAGCTGTGTGTGTGGGCTACAGTATATTACACCCTGAGTAGCGAGCAGGAAGACCAGCTTTCTTCTCTCATTTCCCCTCGCTGCTCAGGTATGTTGTACATAGTAACATAGTGGCTGGAATACAACTCATTTCCCCTCGCTGCTCAGCTGGAGCCTGTGTCGCCTAGCACACCTCGCGGTTCTCCTATTGAGACCGACCCAGACCTTCCTAGTCTTACCTCCACTTCCACTGGATCTCTTGACCTTAGCTCCAAGCAGCTCGGTATCCTGACAGTTCATGACAAATTGTCATGAATTGTCACAAAATTTCATGAACTGTCATGAACCGTCATGTACTGACAAGGTTCATGACTACTGGTGACACAATATGACATGGAGGTTCATGAGTGGTCATGATGTTCATGAACCTTCATGAACCTTCATGACAGGTCATGGAGTGTCATGGAGTGTCATGGAGTGTCATATGTTTATTTTGACCTTTCCCCATCATGTAAAATGCTATAATGTCCCATGATGTGTCATCGACATTCATAATGCTCCATGAACATGTATGATGAGTCAATGCATGAAATGTCACAAGCACTTATCAACTGTCATGTGACAGACCTTATTTGTGACAGCACTGACTGATCAACTTCCAACTCATGGACTTGTGTCCACACTGCACTGAACTCCACTTTTCCTCCAGCCACCTTTGCTGCTTGGTGTCAGAAACGGTGCTTGAGGGTATTCATGGGAAGTGGAGCAGAGTATGGCAGTGTGAGTGATCACTTAGCTGATAGGTTACTCCATTGAAAGGTGTCAGGGGGTTGGGATGTTGGTTTCAACAACTCAGGGGAGCATTGTGCCACATGCTCTAGGCTATCCTGTATTTCAGGTGTAGCAGAGGGAACCTGGTGGCAATGTAGGCTCAAGTGAAGATGAAGTCAGAGGTGAACTATGGACAAGAGGACTTGGGGGTATTCTAGTTGACATTCAAACTGGGGTGCATAGATAGTATACTATCTACAATGCATAAATACAAAAGGGAGAACAGAAGAGGGGTGTCAGGGGACGACTCCCGGGTCCCCATGACCCTCCCCTATGGTCCACAGTCCCAGGTGTAACCAGCCCTGTCCAGGGCACAACCTACTGTGGGTCAGAGATGGTATATAAAAGAGAGGCAAGTATATACAACTTGCCTACTGTGGGTCAGAGATGAGAAGGAAGTTAACTTCTCATCTTCCCACAGTGGCCACAATACATCGAAAACTTCCGGAGATATCCGGAAGTCACATGAGACCCGAGACCCGAGGTCCGGGCCATCTGGCCGCACTGAGCATCTGGCACAGGGCACGCGCGGGGAGTGCAACAGCCGGGTGCAGTCACGGGTGCAGTCATGGGTGCGGGTGCGAGTGCGGGTGTGGATGCGGTATGGGCTAGGTCAGGGTGTATGCCCTGACAAGGGGCTGGTCAGTCTGGTGCCTGAATGGGAGGCAGAGCAGTGAACGTGACAAACTAAATGAGGGACAAGAACCAGGGAGACAGAGAGTGAGAGAATGAATGAGAGTGGAATGAACAATTAAACAAAGAGGCAAAGTAGGGAGGCAACTGACAACCTGGGTGCCAATATAGTAGCAGATCAAGTGTCAATATTTTACTTATTCATTCTTCACCTGGGTTCTTGTCTTTGATAATCCCCACTCATTTCTGCACTGGACCGACTGGCCCTTCCCATGATTTCTCTCCCTTATTTATACCTTGTAAATACTTTCAGGGACCTTAGTCTGAAATCAACTAGAGCAACCCCCTCTTGTGTGATGCTTTCATATCACTTTCAACTTAAGGGTAACATGTAATTAACCATTATGCCCCCAACTGTCATTGTTGTACCAACAATCCTAATTTATGATCAATCACAATGATTTTGGGAAGACTCATAGTGATTCATGAAGGTCCATGAGGGTCCATGATCCTCTATGAAGGCTCATGACACTTCATGACACTTCATAGACAGGCATGTAACCACTCAAAACCTGCCTGGAACCACTTAAGTCATGAGCAATCATGACCCCCCATGCAGGTTCATGACATCTCATGAAATCCCATGATGGTTTGTCATGAACCGGCATGACTGTGTATGACACTTCATGCTGCTTCATGAAGTTTGGTGACCATTCATGAAATGTCATGACTTCCATGACGGTTCATGAACCGCCATTACACTTTTTGCAAGTTACTGGGCTCTGTGTGCTGAGCTACCCTGAGACCTCACTTTTTTAAGTGTATGAGGTGTGTTTTACAACACAACCCACAAAAATTAATCTGACTTAACATCTGACTCGGTAGTGCCAATGGCGCCTAAACACGCCCGCAAGGGCAAGGTCACATCTGCAGCAACGCTAAAAAGAAACGAGCGGTTTATTAAGAAACTGCAATCTCCCATCAGGGGAGATTCAAATCAACAGCTGTCGTCAGATGACGACGAGGATCAACATGATCCGGCAATAGCAACCACCTCAGGGCTGGCCCCTGAAAGTTTTAGAAACTTATGTGGAGTAAGTGTGGGGCCTAATACCCCTAGAACTCCACGATATACCAATCTAACCCAAGCTGGGGAAGATCCTTCACCTCCTCATGAGGTGATTGACTTGCATGATAAACACGTAAGCGCCGAATGATCAGC